TGATCAAACTCCACACTATACTAGCAATTTTATAAATAGAACGAAAAGCCTGTTGCCCTACACTCATATAAATACCCTGAATTAGATGATGGCCATCTAAAAGGCCCTTAATTGGAAAACAAGTGAAGAAACCCAGAAACGCATTCTGCTCTATTTAGAGACGGTAGCCATTTAAAACATTCTCAAAATACTTTTCCCTTCGCAAAGATTACAGGGATAGAGTCCATAACAATATAAGCGTTCGGAAGTATATTTGAGTAATGCCCTTGTCAAACAAGGCAATCAGTCCAAGATAACTCTAAGTATATTTTAAAAGGAAATAAACTAGCTGCTTATTGCACAAACACTTCCAAGTGCTTTGACCCTGACTGGTGATAGCGAGATTCTCGGTCAATGCATCAGCATCACTTATGTAAATACATATGTATTGGAGAAAATAATTGCATAGATTTATTGTTGCGAACTCATTTTTGTCCGGAGTTCTGCTAGATATTTCCATATAGACATATTAGTAATAAATTCTGTTTAATCTGCAACTAATAGTGAAATTTAAAAGCTAGCTAAGAAGCTATGGTACTTATTGCCCTTCGATAGCACAAATTTAAATTCACTAAAACAGTTTATAGTAGTAGTAGTAGTAGTGTAGTATAAAGACTTATCCTAAAAATCAAAACGAAAAAGGTCCAAATCTCCAAAAGTCTAAAAATGCAATATCCCTCGGTCCATCTCATCGCTCAACGGCAGGAGAGGTTACGTTAAATCTTTTTTTAAGGCCTCATTAACTGCCAGGAATATTCTAATGAAAGAAAAAGTCGAGCTTAATACCCGAGCGAAGCATTAACGGATCGAGATCGATTTCCAAATGCTCTCTAAACTCTTAACTTCAGCTCCAAAACTAAGACCTATCCTTGGAAAACATCCAACTTTTGAAACTTAACAGAGTGCCATTAAAACCAGTGCCAAACAGCTGTAATCCTTATTGACCGTTACATAAGCTTCGTTTTTCCACGTAAATGCATTTTTTATTGTGCGCTTATGAACTGCGCAGGTAACCTTTGTGATACATCCCTGAGAAGGTCGGCGGCTGTCAAGGTCATAGACTGTAATGGACGATTTTATGTCTAGATTATCCTGAAGGACTTTCTGGAGTATTCCGTCGCTTTTATTATTCCCAGACAATAACAAAAAGTTATTTAGATGTCATATTTATATTATATTTATTTAGAGATCAGATCTTTTCAATGCACCTAACTTTTGTCGAGATTGTGGCAAACCCCTCTTATGTAGACGAGGCTTATAATCCAGTTGTCGAGGCGTGCGTGAAGAAGACAGATTCAAGTTTAAATGTTCATTCATCTTCAGCATGTAATCACCCACTGCTGAGCTTAACTCACATGTAGAAGGGATGGGTATTGATCATCACGCTTGCTCAAGGCCAATCGGCGATTTCAAACTTATTATAGAAAATGATGATGCAAAATTTCACTGCATCTTTTAAAAAACCGTATTAAAATCTGTTGCGTAGTTTTAAAGATTTAAGCATACATTGAGAAATAAGGACAGGGAAAGAGACTTTGTTTTATATTATGTAGTCCAGGATTCTTCGGTTTTTTTTGTTAATTGTGTCTATTTGATCATTCCAAGTCTATACTAATATTATAAAGAGGTAAAATTTGTAAGTTTGTATGTAGGGTGTAATCTTTGGAACCGCTGGTCGGATTACGAAAATTCTTTCACTGATAGGTAGGTAGCTACAATGTTCCTGAGTGCTATAGGCTATAAAACATCACGCAACGATCAAATGGAGCAGAGCAGCGGGTGTAACCGCGCGAGAGTAGCTAGTACTTTATAACTTAGATAAAGTAGGGAAGGCCTGTTTTTGAACCCTCATACTTGATAAGCGGTCGCCATATCCTCCAGGCCAACGCAATAAAGAGTATGAATGTGATCAAAGCTGAAGAAGTATGTAAGGATCCTGGTAGGTGGCCGTCCGGAGTTTCTGTTACCTTAAACGGGACAAAGGCGTAAGTTTGTCACACATTAATAAACTATTGTCAGAGTCCACATCAGAATGTATGTGTAGAATCGGAATCAATGGTATATTTAAGTCCGATTGCATTCGGAAATACAAAAAAGAATGTCTCAAATCGTCATGATTTCTTGATCAGTTTAATTTTTCTCCAAAAAAAAAACATTGACCAATAATGTACACGTCTTCTCTCGTGTTTAAGTCATGTTAGCTTCCTGATAACCATTAGCTAATTCCTATACTAGACATGTTCCATTCTAAATTAATTAGGACTGTTCCGATCTGAAGATTAACCATGGATTACTCGTTCTTCTCCATTCGAATCTACACTTTAGCTTCACTGACCAACAGACTGCTTGACATTATACTGTAAATGATTTTGACTTTGACTTTCCAGAACCTTCTCAAATCAGAAATGCCCAATGTCCAATAACGATTCAGGAAGAGTTCAAAACCTCATCTAACGAACTGATTAACACAATTTCACTTCTCATCCATCCTCTACTTAAAATTCCTTAGCTACTACATCATTTTAAAACATATGGCTTCGAATACCAAGCCAGTATGCGACAGATAAAAAAGAAAAAAACACACTGGCTATCACTTGAGAATTTGTCTCATGACGTCATCACCGCTTTCGTTTTCTCTTTCATGTTTGTAATATGTTGTATTAAACATTACGTATCACATGTTTTCACTTATAATTTTAGGTTTTTTGCTTGCAACGGACAGACGAGCAAAAAGATCAATCACCTGATTGGTAAAAAAACACCACTATCCAAGGATATACGCAACGCTACAGAACCTACAAGGAGGTTGGCTGTCGTGTTCAAAAAACAAATAGTTTTTTCCAGTATTATTGTGTGATTTCAATTCAGTGTCAAAGTTGAGAGGGATCCAAAGAGGAACCTGGAGACTTTTCATAGTACTGTTGGTTTTAATAAAAAAACCTGACCAACTGCCTATACTTATTAATACTCTTTGGACCAAATTACTATCGAGAAAAGTAACAGAAAGAAATGTCTGGCACATGGTGTCTTATGATATCACACTTTTTGTGTATGGTCAAGGGCTGTGCAAGATGTATTTGATCTGCAAAAATGAAGGAATAGGTACGCCGTCCGAGTATAAAATTATTACAATACACAACTAATCAACTTAAGTGTTTAAAAAAAATTAAAGAGCTTCACAGATACTAAACTATTAATCAGCTATAGACGACTATTTTAATGGTAGTCGAGAATTTGAAATTGGACTAAAACTAACAAACAATACGATAGGTAGCTATTAACAAGCCAAACATGCATAGTCTTATCACCTTAACATAAATTGAAAAATAAATAAAGAACCTATTTGGAAGTAAAGCGACACTGGCATAAATGATCGAACGCATTAACACGATTTGATAAAAAGAAAAAAACAAGCATTTTCGTATCCACCAATTAGATTTAAAGGATTCGCGGTTGATGACAACATCTGTTTTCTGATTGGTGGACTGCGCCAGATGCATTAAATTTGGAAATGGGAGACCCGCCACGGGAATATAAAAATATCGCTTTCGATTGATTTCTGCAATAAGTAATCTAAGTCAAAATGGTATAAAATAAATGCTTGACGTTCTATCACTTATTAAAAGTAGCCTTAGAATTTTAAATTATTTATCGTTACGCTTTTCCAAACTAATATTAAGTATAAATACGAAAGTAACCCTGTGTGTGTCTGTCTGTGTTTTCTTCAACCCAAAACTACTGAACCGATTTCTGTGCAATTTGGTAGGTACAGACAGACATAGTTTGGAACTCGAGAAAGGACATAGGATAGTTTTTATACCCAAAAATCTGGAGGAAGTCACTACACTACTGCACGCGAACGGAGTCGCGGGCAAAAGCTAGTTATTAATATTCATCACTGTCCTAAAACGGGCCGTGGATGAAAATTACGACCATATTCGTTTATTAATAGGCAGGTACCTAATTTTTATATGATTATGAGGAAACATTTTGATAGACTATATTAAAGAGGTTTCGGAACAGAAATCTAATTAGAAAAATGTAGGTTCTCTTCAAAGAATCGGGACTTATAATTTATAAGATTTTCAAGTGTAGTCTTTTGAATTGTAACACAAAAGAAAAGCTATGTACTTTAAAAGATCCCGATGTACCAAGGAGAAAATGATCTTAACGTTCACCTAGAACTTTTAACAAAATTAGCAAAGTATGTTTCTAGCCCCGAAAACGAATAAAAATACTAAGCATGTGATACATTTTACTAGACAGGAACAAGTATTACTATTTAGAAAAATATAGTTTAAGAACTTTTCCTCTGATTCAATGTCTATTGTCTCATTTGTTAAAAATCTACTATGTTTGATTTCAATCGATATAATATATATTTATACAAACATAACAGTAACTATTAATGGTACCTATACTTTTTTGATAAATAAAATGATCTCATCTTTATTTAAAAAGTTGTTTTCATTATGCACGACTTACAGATACCTAAAACTGTCGTCAAATTTAAATAAATTCTACCCGCTTATATCTTTTCTTTTTTTCAATGGTATGCAATCCGTAATTGTCTATTTATATTTATTTTTTAATCTACCTACATTAAAAATAAAACTAATGCAATCCTTTTGATTTTTAGAAATATATTTCGTCATTATTCTCTTAATATTTATTATGTTCTAATGAGAATGAATAGTTGAGTAAAGTTTATTTTCTTATTTTGCAATGTAAGAAGTTTTAACAAGGCACATTAACTGATATAAGTCGATTCGCTATGCAGTTAAAATAAAGTTTATAAAACAAAAGCGGCCGAGGAAAACCTGTTTGCAAAAATCTCACGATTTCGCGCGGCCGGTGCGCCGAGAGACTTTTTTATTTCTTTTTTTATGAACATACTGCTTTATAAACTGCTTTGAAAACATAAAAGAGAATAAAACAATAATTAGTATTTATTCACTTACCTGTAATTTGAACTGACACGAAACTAATCCGTAATTTAATTCAATAATTCGCATAAAATGCAATTCACTAGCGCGCACTCGTGACCCTAGCGGACATTAGCACTAACAGAGGTACCAACGTCACAGAAGACTGTCTGACTATGTCTCTCGTTGTGTTGGCAATTTTGCCAATCTTTTGAACGAGTTACTTTTCCAATAAGAATTTTATTCTACATAGTTCATATTTTATTTTCATAAAATATATGGATAAACATGATGAATTATATAGAAACCTAGACCTAGAATACAAGAGTACCTTTTAAGTTAACTAATTTTAATTTGACATTATTTTTGTTTTCGTACGTTTCCGAACGTAGCCATTGACGGTAGCGTTCCAGAGATATGTGATGGATTAAACTGATATTATGAGCATTAAAGACGTTTGACAGTAGCCGTCTACTGACATTAGGCTATGTACACACAATGAACCTGTGGGTATCCACTATATCTAATTGTATCTATCTTCATTACTATTAGCTTGACTGCTGTTGACATGTGCTTTGTGTACCTACAAAAACATGCGGACGTTATCAGAAGCTACAAACATTCAAAGAAAATCTTTTATATTGTAATCCATCATTACTCTTAAATCTAAATAAAGAAAATATGATATTAACAATTTGCTTAGGTATAATATATAGTAGAAACCACAGTTTCCTAATAAGTGGCGCTTAAGTCAGTTAATTTTTTTTTGTGATGAGACGGTTAACGGTCGAGGATTACCTAATTGGTGGAGTTACGAATGGGTTATTTTAGAGACTTAGCTGGTATTTATTAATTGGGAAGGGAGGGAACGATCGAGCCTATGGTAACCTCACTCAGACGGTGAAACACAATGTTGTGGAAGTTTCACGCCGGCTTTCCGTGGGGCCTTGATATACGTGATATCACACTCGAGCGAGATATGGCGACAGTTGAACTTGCTCATTAAAACAAATAAGGTAGGTATTTTAAATATAGTATAGTACAGTTTTCGGCAGGAACTGGGTAGTAGTTACTTTATTGAAATAAAAAACTAGTAGAACCATAGCAATATCAAAAATGATCACCACAACTTATTGCTTACTTATTTTACAAAATATTCAATATTTGTTTTTAAAGAAAAAATAATGGTATTTACAACAAAGATATGATCAAACATGCTATTTGAAAAAAAATAGTGCCATTTATTTTAATTTTTATTTTCTATGAAAGAGTTTATTTGCAGCTTTCAAGTTGAACAAGTTTCTATTTCAAATTGAAATCGCTCGCATACATCATAATAGGAACACGACTTTAGACGTACGGATTTTATGAAACGAACATGATGGTGATCTATTTTAAAAACCACATGACTCATGAACATAAAATGAGATTGCGTAAGATATCACGTTATTATTTTCACACAAATGCATTGCGATTCTTGAAGATATCTCGTCATAATTTACGCGTGTGCATAGCTACAAAAAAATATTTCATTAAAAATGCAACCGTAAAGTGAGAACCAAGCTTTAAAAATGTATGCTCCAAACATTAGTATTTTTGACCGCGTGACCTGGAACGCCGCTGCACTATTGTTTTGATTTTTGAAGTTTGAACACAATCGGTTTACAACCGTCATTTCATATCAGTTGACGACTATAAACAGTCGACTACGCCTTGAAGTTATTTGAAAATTAGTTTAATAAAACGCATGCTTCATTGTATTTTAGATATTGTGTTATAAAAGTGAAGGTTATTAAAACAGCAGGCTGTGAGAAAAGTGTCTTAGCCACATTTATTACCAAACAAACATTGACCGTTAGAAGTTGAGCATTAAGCTCCAGAATTTGATTTAAACCGTGTTTTACGCTAAATTAGTTGACAATGGAGTCTGCATCAGTAACTGACCGCTTAAACAAGCTGAGGGAGGAGAGAATCGCCCGAGAAAAGGCGCGAATTGCGAAGGTTAGCAAATAAATTTGAATTGACTATGAAATGCTTGCATGTTGTAAGTTTAAACACAAGATTGAAGTTTAGAAGCTACGTTAGGGCTAATCAGTTATCGGCCGAGCTGACCTCTCACGTCCCGCCATAGTTGAGGCCATGGCTGCGGAGTTAGAGGATCTGGGAAGCCGTCGTGAGGGAGCTATTTTCCCTTACACCCAGCCGCCGCAGTAGGTGACACTAGGCGTCGGGCATCGTGCGATGATCTCCGGCTGCCATAAGCTCGGATATTCGGACAGCGACCAAAGCTAGGGTAGCTCGTCGCCCGACCAGAACCAGACCCGAGCGAATGGCGGGTAACATTCCACGCGCGCTTTAAAGAGCTTGTAAACCACTACAGACTAAGGCCAACAGGGCTGATTTTCAGCCGCCCGTGGTTCATTTTCTCTCGCAAAAATTATTTTTTAATAAGTGTAGTTTACTAGTTTCAAGATGCAGCTTTGCGCATTAAATATAAAAGCCCTTAAAAATACTAGTCCCTTGTTGCTTAGTTTTATATTGGTATTATGTATACATTGGTAACTATGGAGCCTCTTGCTCGTTCTTCTCCATTGTAATGTACAGTTTGGAACGAGCAAATGGCTTTACTAGAGGACACACCATCAGACAGGCACACTAAGTTGAACCTTTTTGATAAGTATTTCTTATTGATTTCACTTTCAAATGTGCTTATAGTGGTCTATTTGAAATTAATGATTTGCCTTTTTTTGACCTTTCCCATCCTTTATGATCACCTTTGGAGATCTTCAATTTAATGATAGTATAGTATCAATTTATAACTAACAATTGTATTTATTTCAGCTACGGGAGCTAAACCTCAAGAAATACAACAAAAATGATGACATTAAAAATTCTAATTCAAACCTTTCCATAGTTAATAAATCAGTCAAATCTGAATCGAATATGAAAAACAATGGTGCAGGTAAATATTGACTTTCTTTAATTACGTTATACACTTTGATATTTTTTTTTACTCTTCTCTCTATATCACCTATATAATGGTATATTATCCTCTGTCAAGGGCGCATTACAAATATACAGAATCACAAACACACACTCAGACCTGGAATTAAAAAATAAGTATGTCGACAATCAAATCCAAGGTACGCAGCCAAGTGCCCAGCCACTGTGCTAACTGTGCAGTAAATTTTTATTTTTTTCATACTGAGCAGTCATTTTGGCCTCTGTCAAGCCTGGTGGTAAGCAAATAAGATGGAGCATGCCTACCCAAAATCAACCTATTCACTTGAGCTGTGAAGACACTACGTACCCTTTGTCGGACACAGACCAGCAAGGAATTCCACTCCTTTAAACCACATTGTTGAATATTCATGTGTTGTTTGTGATCTCTTTAGTTCAACACCTGGTTTGGACATAGTTTTGATTGGTATTTGTGCATGAGATCAGGAAAATTTGTAGTTTGTCCGCTGTTTTAAAAAGTAATTAATGTTTCATAATGAATGTATGATTGACTCATGAATTCTTTCCACAGGCCCTGTAAAAAATTATTTGCATGTCAATGGCGCGGCGAAGAGGCCTCTCTCAGTACCAACAAAAATAAAAAATGAAGATGCTAAATCCAAATCAGATCTGCCTAAATCGACATCAAACATACCAAAAATTACAAACAAAACTGAAAAGATCATGTCTAATATTGTGAATGTTAACAAAAAGGTGGGAATTACCAATAACAATAAAAAGCCAGTTAATAATACCGAAAGCAAATTCTCCAAAAGTGACAAGAAGCAGGTCTTGGATGGTAAACCACAGGTACCCCGCGTCAGTCTTTTGCAGAAACCTAAGTTAAACACTAATGCTGACCGAAAACAAAACTTTCCCATCCGAAAGGCTGAAGGTCTAACTTCAAATGTAAAAATCCGCCAAAGTCTTGCCGTTGCCAACAACAAACCCCCTTCCGATGTACCACGCAAGTCCATGATCCCTCAAAGCGCCTCAAATTCTGAATCAGTCTTTGACCGCCTCTACAAACCGAAACCAGTTCAAAATAGTCACAAAAATGAAATTGAAAAGCTACAAACTGATCCTAATTACTTGAAGAAGGTGATCCGTACCTCTGGATTGATTTTGAACAAACGACACACAGTTTTTGAGCCCGCCAAAGCGAAGGTAGCAGTGCCAGTCCGCAGATCAATCTCCGCTGTCCATTTCAAACGTATAGGAAAGCAAGAACTTGGCAATTGTATTCACAAATGGTCCTCAATTGGTGACAAACTCAACAATATTCATTTGAAACATATCAACGAGGATGAAAATGTACGGGAAGAGAAAGTTGTGTCTGCGGTTAAGAGTGAGAGAAAAAAAGTGACCTTTATGACACCGATGGGTAACTTCAACACTCCAAGGCCAGAGGAACTGCAAGCGAGGTTGAAATCTTGGCTGCAGAAGCGGGGCAAATCACTGGACTCCTATCACCATTTGCAATGCTTTGGCATACATCATTTACCGCAGACTATAAAGTTTGATCCTAAAGCTTTTGACGAGGAAAATAAAGAGAACATAGCGGTAGAATCTGACAGTGATGATGATTCTTTTACGGAGAACATGAATGAGGATCCGAAGGCCAGTACGGAGAGATGGAGGAATGCTAGCTGCGTGACGGACAGTGAAGATTTTAATGAATCCCATAATACTACTGCGACGTGCAGCGATATTATTAACTTGGATGAAGTTGTCGTTGGCGCTTTGAATGATTTGACCGAGTTACTTAAAGAGGTAAGTTATATCTGTACTTTCTTTATAGGATAGGTCGGGAAACAAGCCTATGGATCACCTGATGGTAAGCACGATTGCTTGCGCCGCCCATGGACACTCCCAACATCCAGGAGTTCACTGTCTCTAGGTGGGAACGGGATAAGCGATTTGAGGAGGCATATTTGGGTCTTCCAATAACTTTAATTACACCGTGAAACACAACTAAGCCGTTGTTATTGTTTCATGTTGGTTTGCTGTGGTGGTAGGTCTGGTCGAGTCGGCTCGGCTTGCCTTTCACCTTTTTTTATGAGATAGGTCGGCTAACGAGCAGACGGATTACCTGATGGTAAGCAATCATCACCGCCCATGTACACCCGCAACAACAGACAAGTTACCGTGTGCGTTGCCGTACTTTTAGGTATTAGGGATTTGGAGATTTAGAGATTGGGAGAAGGGAAGGATTGGGTTCTCCGGTAACCTTACTCACACGGCGAAATACAACGCTATATCACCTTTTAATTTGTAATGATTTTCGATCAATTTTATCCCGTTACCTATTTGAAGGTAGTAGATCTAATTGTAACTCAATTAAAAGACTTTATTACCTATATTTTATTTATATTTTCCAGGGTTTCGATTGGGAACAATGCGCGCGCTGGCTGCGTGCAATACGCGAGCGTTTCCCTTCGGCTCCGCACAGCGCCGCGTACTGGGAATGTCGGGCCGCGCTCGAGGAAACGCGCGGCGATCTGCCTGCTTCCGTCCAGTGCTGGGAAGAAGCTATCGCTAAGGGCACTGAGGTAATTTACTAAGCAAATTAAAACTGGCCAAGAGCGTATCGGGCTACGCTCAGTGTAGCGTTCCGTAGTTTCCCGTCTGTCTCGTGGTAACTTATTGCGCTAGAACCAAAACCGCGGCCAAATATCGGCCCTACTGGTCCATCTGTGGTAGTCAATTGGCTCTTTGACAAAGAAAGCTACACGCTGCACGCTCGAGAATTGGGTAGTGTCCTAGGTTAAAAATAAATTAATTCGACGTTTTAATACAATAAAATATTGAAAAATAACTATACTATTATTCATCGATCGATCGATACACTAAGTTTTAGATTTTTTTTAGCTCATTATTGAGAAATAAGTAAGCTATTTGACTCAAAACTGTTATGACGTCATACCTCAGTTTTTCATACAAATTTCATAGAAAAGTATCGTTTTTGACATTTGGATAAAAGTATTGAATTTGACTACTTAGTTGGAAACTACCGTATTTTACTTAGCCTGGCTTAGGAGTTATACTCCTCATTCAAAAGCTGTCTACTAACACGATTTTATAATCTTTCAGCGCTCCGTAGTGGAAGCCAATTTAGACCAGCTGCTAGACAAATTTATGCAGTTGAAAATAAGTCCAAACAGCCACGGGAAGCGCCGGGAGGTCGACCCCAAGCTGGTCGACGTCAAAAACGTGTTCAAAAGCACTATCATACGATTCGCTGTCCAACAGGCAAAGTTGTAAGTATAGATTTCTACTTGTTAATAGGCTAGGATTGTGATTGCCTTAGGTTTTACTTTATAGAGACTAGATCTTTCCCGCGGCTTCGCTTTCGGCTCACGTCTTTACCCTACCCTATCTTACCTTACCTTACCTAGTCTGAGCCTCCCGCGTGAGGGAGCAATCCTCCTCCTCACGCCCCAGTTGCCGCAGCAGGCAACACTACGGGCGCCGGGGATCAAGGGACGATCTCAGGCCACCGTAAGCGCGGGTCTGCGGACGGCGAGTAAGGGCAGCTCGCCGCCCGACCAGAACCACGCCCGAGCGTACGGCGCGTAGCGTTCCGCGCGCGCCTCAAAGAGCCAATAGACCACCACAGACGGGGCCCTATAGGGCTGATGTTCAGCCGGGGTTGCGGGGTAACCGCAATGGGGGTTTAGTCAGGAAGAGTCTGACACTCCCTCCCGCCCGGCCCTGGGCGGGAGAAGTCATTTGATGATTTTCCCCTCACAAAAAAACCTTACCTAGTGTACCCTATCGTATGTCCTTCTCCCAGTTCTTAGCTACCTCCAATTTCGCCAAAATCGGGTCAGCCGTTCTTGAGTTATAAACAGTGTAACTAACACGACTTTCTTTTATTAGATTCTTTATAAAGAGACTAACACCCGGTTTCCGAAAGGCCGATTAATGTTAAAATCAATTTAATATCTTTTCAAGTCATCTGATTGGTTGACTGAATTATCAATAACCAATCAGATACTTGACAAGAGATTTAACAGGAGACTAATTAATTTTAGCGTTGACAAGCCTTTCGGAAACCGGGTGTAAGTAAAAGTTACAAGTTAAAGGATTTATTTTAATTTATCCTTAAATAGGTATATATAGGTAAAATTAATTCTAATAAGTGTGCCTGCGAAGCTCTAGGATCCCGTTTCAAAAAGAGGCAAAACATCTGTCTCCCCCTATAGCGCACAAAAGCCATGATTACCTAGTTTTAAAAATCTCTTCAGGTAAGATGACGTGTTGGAAACTTAAGAATAATGAAAAGTGTTTAAAGAATGTATTTTCAAGTCACCCTTCGACTTGATATGGCCATTAATCTATGGCGGGATTTAAAGGTGCGAGAATATTAATATTAAAACTATGTATTTGTAAAGAAATGAAATGCGTTGCGTACGGGCCATGTCTCTACTTCCCACGATTGACGGCTTTGAGTGACAGTAAAAGAGTAAAGTATTTTTTTTTTAAGCTGAGTAAACATTTAAAAGGCGAAGAGCCAAGCTTCGCCACAAAAACCCAAATCCTTTAATTAACACAAAAAGGAAGGCACCGCACTTGTAACCCTTCGATGTTGCGAGTCTCCAATGGCAACACCAGAGTAGTTACGAGCGCGTCGCTGGTCTTTTGGGAATTAGGGGTTGAAGAGGGATGTGTAGGGCCAAGATCGGTCCTTTTAACCTGTCTCACATGGTGAAACACAGCGCTGTGATTGTTTCAAGCCGGTTTTCTCCGAGGCCTTGGTATAACTTTGGTCGATTCGACACATTGGTTCTCAAGCTTGGCTGTCCCACATTTAATTTTTACTTAGCTTACTGTCGGGTGATCAGCTGCTCATTTGCGGACTAATGCCATAAAAAGCAAATGTTACACCGAAGTTCGGTTCATAAGGTTTAGAATACACAGTTGATGCGGTCTCTAGGCAACCGGCGGACATGCGTGTGTCGCGGGCTCGATTCTGGCAAGGATCTCTTTGTGTGATCCACAAAATGTTGTTCCGGGTATGGGTGTTATTTGTATGCGAAATTGTATGTTTGTAAACGCACCTACGACATAGAAATATAGTGTAGAGAAATGTTTATGTATAACAAATAAGTTTTATTTATTTTCAGACGCCAATCGAACCAATTCGATGCTCCGAAGTACACGGTGACCCCAGTGCGACGCAGTGCAAGGTTGAGCTCTCATTGGAGTGCAAAACGCACCCCCCTACAAGTTTGCACAAGTGTAAGACAAGCTGACGAAGTACTAGGAGAAAAACCAGTGTTCGTGCCAAACGGAAGCCTATATGGCACTCCTTAAAGTTGAAGATGCAATATTTTATGGGTTAAAGTTAAATTATCTTGTATAAAGAACTTAATTGTACTATAAGGTATGAAAATGAATTGTTTAGTATTAAATAGTTACTGACAGCGATCTCGCCCGCTGTACGGGTGTTAAAAATACCCTAAGTTTGAATAGTAACCTGAGACATACTATATATTGGAAATAACGACTTACTAACGTGAATAGGGATGTCTCCTGGGTTAAAACTACAAGATTAGTCCGTCAGTTAGATTATAGAAAAATACTCGATACGTATTTTTTATTTGTCCATACGAAGAATATTGACAAAGATACAGGACATTCAAATTCAGGAGTTGGGGATCGTGACGTCACTCTTTTGTAAAAATTTTACGAAATATTGACGTAGCGCGAACTCTCGCCGCTCTGTAACTTTGTTATTTTAAGTTTTAGAAGCAAAAGAAAAAATACGTATCTACTATTTACTGGCGTTCTAAAAGATGGACTCATTAATATTTTTTAGTCATCATCCCTAGTAAGTATATATATGCTATACTAGTTTCAAGTCATAACGGTACAATACCGCCAACGTATCTTGGCAGGTCTGAAGTTAGCCGATTAGCTGCGCAGTACACAATTTTGCTCCTAGAAGATCCATTGCGCAGACAAACGGCTAACTTCAGACTCGCCAAGATACGGCGGCCGTACTGTACTTATTCATGAACAGCGTGCGCGTCGCGGCGACGTCGCGCAGCCAACTGAATATAGCAAGTTTTCTTAGTTAATTCACGTAAGTCGTTATTTTTCAATAAATTTTGTACATCATCATCCGCCTATAAGTGCCCACTGCTGAGCAAAGGCCTCTTCTCATACGGAGAAGGTTAGAGCATTAATCACCACGCTTGCTCATTGCGGGTTGGCGATTTCAAACTTATAATTAGAAATTATAAGTCCAGGTTTTCTCACGATGTTTGCCACGGAATAGAAAATACAGATGTTAACCTTCACCGTATGTCAGTGGTGTCTAAATAATCATAGAAAGTACATATAACTCGAAAAAAGTCACATTGGTACTTGCCGGGTTTCGAACCCACACCCTCATGCAAGAGCAGCGGGCTCCTTAACCTCCGGGCCACCACACTTAACCTCCGGGCCACCACCCTTAACCTCCGGGCTACCAAATTTTGTACCCTATGTCTTAATCCATACTAATCTATCTCTGGGCTAAATTTCAATCAGATCCGTTCAGCACTTTTTTACGTGAAAACTTTCGCGATTATAATATTATTATGATGACAGTTAAGTACTTAGATAGTGAAATTTATTAGGTACACAAATTTTTCTGGTCGAATATTTTTCAATTTTTTATTTTTGGGTTTGAAATTAAGTTTGTATTGTTTGACGCTGGCTGGGCCCATGACTCTGATCTGATTTTACTCATACAAATAAAAAATTTCATAAATATATTAATTGTTGGACATATTATTATTAATTCCTCCCAAACAGTGCCCATGTCTGATTGGGGTTGTTTTTTCAATAACTGCAATATTGTTTATGTATTAAGCACTACTATTTAACGTTTTCGTATGTTCCAAATACGTAGAGAAATATATGTATAAGATTCAAACAAAACCGCTAAGGAGCGGGATTGCTTGGGAGGCTCTTGTTTTCTGAATAACACAACCTGGTTGTCTTTAAGGCCCGAGTGAATAGGTTGCGTAGGCCATATCATCACCAGACAAGATGAGGCCTAAACGTCGTAAATCTTTAAACTTAACAATGAACCGGCTCCAGCCTGGGATTGCGGGTGTCCTTGGCCCAGAGCAGGAGAAGGAACAGGGGGTTCTTTTCTGTAACAAAAACTGCGCAAACGACGCTACCGACGTTGTTTGTCAATATTATTATTTCGTCGACCTGTAATTCAAAACACTAAATTAAGTTTGAAAAGAAGTTTTAATTTGACTGACTGTAAACTACTTTATTAATCCAAGTCCTCTTATTTATACAATTATGTTTTCAATTTTATGCCTTATTATGATTATGATAATGTTTTTTTTTCACTAATGTGGGTGTTTCGAGGTAGCTCAGCGAATTTTAAATTTTCGTATGCTATTTTTGCAATTTAAATCTCTATAACGGATAGCGTCATGATAAAACAGATATTGGTGATAATAATATAGTTACACTTCTTAAAACTTTATATAATGTGGTAGGTTGGTAATAGAACAGATTAACCTGATGGTAAGCAATCAAAGCCGCCTATGGAAAGTTCGTTGCCGGCCGTTTAGGGATTTGGGTTTAGGTTATTTAAGGATAAGAGGAAGGATTGGGCCTCCGGTAACCTCACTCACACGGCGAAGTAACGCTGTGGTTGTTCCATGCCGGTTATCTGCGAGGCCATGGTATCACTGATCGATTTTTCTGTAATAAATGATTTTTTTTTACGTTTAAAAATGTTTTTTTTTAATTAATTTTGTAGCTACCTTGAAACATACATGTTAAATATAATAATGTAAATATCTTAATATAGTTATTATGTTTTTCTTTTTGCTTTTAGTTAAGCCGATTTGTATACATTAATATTTTATTTCTTACACCAAAGTACGCTTAAAATTATGTTTTCACCTTTTCTCATTATGTTATTGTGAGTGAATAAAATAGTTTTATTCTAGTAGTTTTCCTGTTTTATTTTAGTTTTTTGGCCTGTCGTAAATCGTTTACATACAGTCGGTGCAGTGTGCATCCATAATTTGTAAAGAAAATGCTAGTGTTGAGGCAACATATTAACTACATGCGTATTTAAATATAAATGGTACATACATAAACATAACGTAACGATTTTTTGTCTGTCTGTGTCTTCCGTGTGATCTTTGGAATGACTGGAAAGTATTTTGCCGGATTTTATTGCTAGTTGACTAATATCAAGAGTTAACTGACATTTTAGAAGTTTTTCCACATATTTATTTAAATTAATCGAAAAAATTGAACGTTCTTTTATTTTCATCTCTAAAGATTGTAGCGTTCCCGCGATAATATAATTTTGCGACGACGAAGTCGCGGGTATAAGCGGATGAATAAATAAAATTCCCATGGCTAAAGATTTTATAAATAGCGCCATGACTAACCTGATTGTAATACAGCGCCATCTAGTAATTTGAGTGAGTATTTCTTACTGTCACTTGTGTACAATGATATGAAGTTTTGCGAATTTATTTAATTTCTACATACCTCAAAACAATACACACAGTTTTCACATGATAGAAGTTATACAGGACATCAAAATAATATTATTAGCGTCGAGTGAAAAACTTAGAAAATGTTCTTAAAATTAATATTATTTTACAATGGCAGCACCGGAAAAGTTTTGATTCGTGGATTCTTGTTTCATTTTCGTTCTCCGTGCCGCGTTGTGTCAACCTGTGCCGCTGACAGCTTGTGACAGGCTGAGAAACAATTTTTCGAATTTCTGTGCCTTTGTGCGGGCCAATACCCTTTTTTGTTTGTTGTGTTTATACATAGAAATAAATCAAACGTTACATTGTTATCCTAGTTATAATTTTGATGCTGTGCATGTGTTATTATCAATTTAAAAAGTCAGCTGTAGAACAGCTGATTCTGTTGTGAATATTTTAATTTCGGTAAGTCTTAGTTTTATTACATTTCTTTAATTGTAAGAATTTATAAAAAGATGTTTTTACGGCAGTATTGTGTGTTTTATAGTCATAGTGTCTTTATTTTTACAATTTCATTAATTTACCATAAATAGTCTCGCGATTTTTTTTTATGACACAAGTTTCTTCGAAAAGGTCGTTTTTGATTTCAAGTTCAATGAAAAAGTTTCGTACGAGTTTTATTATGTTGGCAGAACATAGCTTGCATTGAGGATTAAAAGTTCGCATTCTTTTATCAATGAAGTAATGAACAAAACTTTAACTTATGATTATTTAAAAACCTTGTTAATCATAAACTTTTGAAGCTTAAATTAGGTACTTCGTAGAAATTGATTATAGTTCTATGATCAAATTGTTGTAAAAATCTGTGAGTTAAAAAGAAAATTAATATTTGTACAACTATCTGGTTGTGAATTAATTTGAAAAGTAATTTAGATACACACCTACGTTTACATAACATAATCTTACCTACAACATTATATGTATTATAAAGAAAACACTCCCTTATACGGTGAAATATATCTGTAGTACAAATTGTATCTTGCCTTTAAAATTCAATACTTTTATCCAAATGTCAAAAACGATACTTTTCTTTGAAAATTGTATTTTTGCGTCAAATAGCTTATTTATTTTTAAAAAATTAGCTAAAAAATATAATTATAAAACTTAGTGTATCGATCGATCGATGAAGAAAAGTAGGTATAGTTATTTTTCAATATTTTATCGTATTAAAACTTCGAATTAATTTATTGTTGACCTAGGAAACTACCCAATTATTCATACCTTAGGCGATGCGTCCAAAATTATATTGCACAACTTTGGTAAACGTTGCGCGGAATTTTCCTGTAAGTAAAACGCCGACATTTATTTTTGTTTGATGACGAATGAAAATATTATTTAAATAATGTAAGTAGGTACTTACGTATTTGTAATATCGATATTTGTAACGTAATACGTACGATAAGTATGTAGGTACCTATTATTGTATAATTTAGGTTAAAGTTCATGTGGTAAAGAATCTTAAATGTAACCTATATACCTACTAGGTATTACTACAATGTTAAAAAAGAGGTATAATTTAGGGAGAGCCGTGCTTCAGCTTTGATGGGCCGTGTCAACCGGATTGATACCACGCATTTATTGAATACCGGCGTGAAACTATGAGTGAGGTTATCGAAGCCCATCACATCCTCATCATCAACCTATAAGTGTCCACTACTGAGCAAACGCCTCTTCTCACACGGAGAAGGCTTGAGCATTCACACGCTTGCTCAAGGCAGATTGGTGATATCAAACTTATAATTAGAAATTATAAGTCCAGGTTTCCTCACGATGTTTTCCTTCACCTTATGTCAGTGGTGTGTAAATATTCATAGAAAGTACAAATAATTCGGAAAACTCTCATGCATGAGAAGCGGGTGCCTTAATCACCGCGCCACCACGACACCCTCGGCCCTCGATCCCAATCCCCAAATTCCTCGATCCTCGAATTCTCTCAAAGGCTGGCAACCCACTTGTTACACCATTGCCGGTGTTGAGGGTGCCGATTGCTTACCATCAGGTGATCAAAAAGCTCGTTTGCTCACCTCGTCCTTAAAAAAACAGACCTTACACAATGTAAGCCCTTATAGACGTCAAAATCCTCTAGTTACTTGAAATAAATTATTTGACTTTTTTATTAATGTAAGTATACTAGAGTCTAGTAACGCACTTGAACGTCAAACAAAAAAAAAAATATATCAAAATGTTCAACTTTGTGTGTCAGTCTGCCGGTCTGTCCTTTAAGTAAGCTATTTGCTCATATGCTTTTGGTTGGTCGCCTTACCGCCTTCTGACTGATATCTGATAGGACAAACGTATGAATGTCCCTTTGCTCTGGCTTGGAGCAGGAGAAGGAACGGGGTGGTTTTTAGTCAGTAAGAGTCTAAACTTACACCCTGCCTGATTGAAAACGGTTACCGTGAAGTTGGCTGTACTAAAGCCTAGCTGATTTTTGCAAGGTCAATGGATGAGCTTGACCTGGACAGGAAGACCCTCTCACGCAATACGTACCAGCGAGAATTGTAGTCTAACAGAAAATCCCGTTTTCATCTATGTAGTTACATAGAAATAAGCGACCCTTTTAAGCAGCGACGATAAACAATCTTGATAAGTTTGTCTTTTTATATTAAAGAGGTCGTTAATACATAAAAAGATTATTTATAAATTTAGGTAAGGCCGATTTAGGTAAATAACCTCATTGTAAACATTTTTAAATACTATTTTGGGACATCTTCTAGACATGCCAGTATTGTTGTATATTTAGTTAATTAACGAGATTTTGCCCGTGACTCCGTTCGCATTGAATAGTGACTTCCCGATTTTTGGTATAAAACTATTCTATGTCCTTTATCGAGTTCCCAACAATGTCAGTACCAAATTTTACAGAAATCGGTTCAGTAGTTTAGGCGTGAAGAAATCCAGACAGACAGACAGAGTTACTTTCGCATTTATAATATTAGTTTGGATTACCTGAATCGATAGACCTTACATTATGTTTAGAGACGTGCCAAGAAGCTCATCAACGACAAGGTCCATTGAGTACGAAACTCAAAAAAATAAACTAAAAAACCATAGCGTTTTTTTTGCATATGGCAACATCAGAGGTGTGCCAAAAAAACTAGAGAACTTATCAGTTTTTTTTTCACTTCTTAATTTATTAATTGTCTGTATTATTAAGTACAAGGACATTGAAACCTGTTTTCATTATCGTTTCGAATACTTGAAATAGCTACTTGTATTCAAGTGTTGTCTAATAAAATAATGTTTTAGTTGAAACAAATACCTAGAGTTTGTAAATTAAATTCACGACTTAGTTATACGAAGCGGCTGCTTCTCAATGTCTGTATATCCGTTACATGTACATCTATAACTAGCTACTCTCGCGCGGTTTCACTCGCTGCTCGGCTTCTACAGATCGTAGCGTAATGTTTTATAGCCTATAGCCTATTTATCAGTGAAAGAATTTTGTAAATCCTACCAGCGGTTCCAAAGATTACCCCCTACATACAAACTTACAAATTTAACCTCGTTATAATATTATTAGTATAGATGTAATGATACTGCGGCCCCGACCCGGAGCAGGAAAAGCAACGGGATGAAGAAAAATAAAAAGCTCAGTGTCTTGAGCAAGTATTCTCTCCATAAGTACACATAAAACCGGCGTGAAACAACCACAGCGTTGTGTTTCCCTGTGTGAGTGAGGTTACCGGAGGATCCTTCTCCTGCCCCAATCCCTACTCAATCCCTAATCCCTAAAAGGTCGACAATGCACTCGTAACTCCTCTGTTGCGGGTGTCCATGGGCGGCGCTGATTGCTTACCATCAGGTAATCCGTCTACTCGTTTGCCGATCTATTAAAGACTCAAATTCCCCTCCCCCAATCCCAAAATTCTCAAATCCGTAATCCCCAAATTCGGCAACGCGCTCGTAACTCCTCCGTAGTTGCAGATGTCCATGGGCGGCGCTGATTGCTTACCATCAGATAATCGGCATGCTCGTTTGCCGACTTATCCCATAGAAAAATATCTGGTGCCTTTACAATGGAGGCAGGATGTATCCCTCCCCTCCTAGATTCCCAAATCCTTAAGTCCCTAACAAAAAAGGCCGGCAACGCACTTGGAACCTTCTTTAATGTTGAGAGTGTCCATGCGGCGACCATTGCTTATCTTCATGAGATACTATTGAAGGATAGTAGTATACCGAAGGTCGTGGTGGCCCCGGGGTTCGGGCGCCCGCTTCTCATGCATGAGGGTGTGGGTTCGAAACCTGGCAAGTACCAATGTATTATTATTTTGTATGTTCCTTTCCACTCACGGGACACAGGGTCCCGGACTTTTGGAAGGCGTACGAGGGGCCGAAGCCAACTCGCAGAGGCCCTTTGAACAACTTTTATTATTATCTATCTATCTATCAATGTGACTTTTTCTGAGTTATATGTACTTTCTATGATTATTTAGACACCACTGACATACGGTGAAGGTAAACATCGTGAGGAAACCTAGACTTATAATGTCTAAATATAAGTTTGAAAGCACCAACCCGCATTGAGCAAGCGTGGTGATTAATGCTCAAACCTTCTCCATGTGAGAAGAGGCCTTTGCTCAGCAGTGGGCACTTATAGGCTGATGATGATGATGATACCGAAGGAACCGTTAAAAAAATAACATTGCAATTTACATAAAGCATTGGGCTTCCCCTTAGTTGAGGAAAATGTGATAAAAATTCATTTCAACACAGTCATCGCCATCAACTCGTATACCCTTCCTCGACATACTAGTTGTCCTTTGCGGCTTTTTCCCGTTTTCTTACGTAATTATTAACATAAACTTTCCTTGAGGCAGTGACAAAACTAGTGTGGGAGAGCCAAGCTTCGGCGCGAATGGGTCGGCTCGACTAGAATGATACCACGTCCTCACAGAAAACCGGCGTGTAACACTCACGCTGTATTTCGGCGTGTGAGTGAGGTTAACGGAAGCCCAATTGTTCCTCTCTCCAATCTCTAAATCTTCATACCCTTATCTTTAAAACGCTGGCAACGCACTCGTAACTCCTCCGCTGGCAGCTGCAGGTGTACTTGGGCGTCGAATGCTTACCATCACGCATTTCATGTGCTCGTTAGCCGAAACATCACAAAAAAAAATAGATTTCCTACAAGCCTTTAAGTCCTTTAAGACAATGACCACGAATGGTCCGTCTTAGCACGGTGTCACAGAAAATCATCGTAAAACAATGCTTACTTTGTGTTTCACTGTGTGACTGAGGTTTCCGAAGGTATAGCTCGTGAATCCTCGAATTTCAAACCCTCAATATACCGGCAGCGGAATAAGGCCCGTGGCCTCGGCCTAGAGCAGGAGAAGGAACCCCCGTTCCTTCTTTTAAGTCAATAAGAGTCTGACACTTCCTCATTCATTTGATGATTTTCCACT